AGGAAAGTCCACAAGACTCTTATTTCCAATTAACTACCAAAAAGCTGGAACTGGAGCTATGGCTCAAGTGGTAGAGTGCTAGCCTTGAGCAAAAAAGGCTCAGGGACAGTGCCCAGGCCCTGAGTTCAAGCCCCAGGACTGGTGCACACACACGCACATGTGCACACACGCGCACACAAAGATTTTTAAAAGGTTTTTTTCTCTGAAACAGAAAATTTGGCCTTGGAAGTCCCTATCAAGGACTCTCTCGGTTTTGTAGAGGCTTTGAAGGGAGCAAGGAAGTTGGGCAGTACGCACACAGACCATGTCTGCTGATACACTGTGGATTAGCCACTGGAAGATGAAAGGCAATGCTCAGAGCCAGGCCAGCAGGAGTAACTGCCCACTACCCACCAAGCCATTAGACATTGCCTTGGCATGTCAGAGGACAGTGAGACAGACCAAAGAACAAGTCTCCTGGCTACAGAGTCTAGGTGTGTGCTCGTTTGCGTGTGCAAAACTGACTGAGGGGTCTTGAACGTGGACCACGGTTCACCTCAGGAGCATTCACTTCGTTAGCAGAGGCAGCAGCCCCAGTTCACCAAGTCTTTCCTTGGCTGCCACCTCCCAGCCCTTGTTGGCCTGTGGACTTCTGGGAGAGGGATGCAGGAGCCCCTCCACCCGGACCTCTGGCATCAGGCCTGCCAGAGCCCGCCGTGCCCGCTGCTCTGCCAGCCGCCCCACTCCCACCACCAGCCGCACCCTCAGCAGCTGCACCTGCCGGCAGAGGGCTGTGTCACAGAGGCCCAGGAGCTGTTCCCGCTGCTTGGCAGGCAGCTCAGCTGGAGTGAGGTTCCGGCCGCTGGGAGCCAGGAAGAGCAGTGGACACAGATTGTGGACGAAGCAGTGATGGAAGAAGATGTCAGGCTGTACACAGAGGTTCCGGAAAAAGCCCCAGAATCGGGCGCCGCTCACCTCTGACTGGGGACATTCCAGTCCTAGCACTGGTCGCTTAGGATGCTCTTGAGCAGGGGTCAGCACAGCCCCCCCAATGCCCAACCAGTCCCGGACCACATTCACTTCCCCAAAGGGTACCTGCAGGGAAGGAGAGAAACAAAAGGAGCTTTCAACTGGAGACTGAGGCCCAGGCTCCAGACCAACTGATCCCTCTCCACCTTCCATGACAAGCTGGCCTGGACTCCCATCCAGCCTCACTTCAGCCCACGTGTGAGACAAGGACTAATCAAACCCTGTGGTTTGATCCTGTCCATTCCTCACGTATTCACTATGGAGTATGGCCCAGAGGAATCTATGTGCTCTACTTCTACCCCGACCAAACTTTGGGACTAAGCTCATGGAATACACTGAGATATTCGGCCTAAACAGGGCAGGATGGTTAGTACTGGGTAACAGGTGACAAGGTGGAAAGGGAGCCGGGGTTAAAGGAGGCACAAGGGTAGGGCTGTCCACTGTTCTCTGGGTGTCCTTCCAGCCCCAAGCCTCAGGCTGTCATTTCCATCGATCATCATTGATCACCTTTCATCACCCAGTTGGGGTCAATAAAAGCGATTGAGCCTCCAGCCCTGAGGTACCATCCCCTCCCCCATTGCCCAGCACTCCTACTGTGGGGCAGTCACTCACTCTGAGCTATGAAAACCAATCAGGCAGCTCCAATCTGGAGCCTGGGACTGTTAATGAAGCTCTCCTCACTGACTCAGAGCCCCAGGCTGACAAAAATGCCTGCCTGGTGCACATACCCACCTCTGCCAACTTGTCTTCCTTGAGGATCCCAAAGGCCAGGTCTCTCTCTTGACCTTAGCCAGGCTCTAGGGACGGGGAAGATCCGGCAAGGGAAGGTGAGGATGGGGGATGGCGGAAGGAAGGGCTCTCAGAGGCTTAGTGGATGGCTCACAGGGGAAATGGAAGTACCATTAATGTGCTTGGTAAACTATGGGCAGAGAGGCTAAGAGAGTGTCTGAGACCACAGGAGCCAGTGTGTGTATTGGGATGGGGTGAGGGGGGGCCCACACATGTCCACAGCCAGCCTACCCAAGCATCCACCTTGGAGCCTCCCACCCCACCCACCAGGGGAAAGACAAGACTTTTACCCCAGTCTGAGCCATGCCAAAAGGCCCCGGGTTCATGCCCAGGAAGAGTACTTCTTTGGGGTTCTGGCAGTAGCGAGTCACGTAGTTTCGATGGGGTTCCCACGCATAATCCACTGGATTGTAGATAATGCTCACAGGCTCGGAAAACTGCAGCTGCTTCAGCTGAGCATTGAGCCGAAGCTCCTCCTGCAGGAAGCTCTCAGCCAGGCTTACAGGGCAGGGGGGGGTATCCAACGGGGCACCTGCAGGCTCATGATGGGGCCCTGGTGGAAAGGTCTGGGACACATCCATGCTGCTATCACCTGGAAAAAGAGGCAGACCGAATCCCCATCAGCAAGAGG